TCAAAGACGAATACGTGTGTCCACGCTAAAGAAATTGATAAGTCTTTTAAAAATCTAATTTTATACATACAATAGAATAATGTGCCAAGTTGTATTTATGGGGAATTCATATGGTTTTGAAAAACTTGTGTACCATTTTCAGGAAATGACTCTAGAAATATCATGTGGTGTATCATAAAAAATATAATATTTCAAGTATTAAGTAATATTTGTTTATTTTGGACATTTCCTTACACTTTCAATACATGTGAGTGTGCATATCTTAATCATCTTTTTCAAACACATTATATAGTGTTATAAAAGTGTTCTATATAGTGTGTGTGTGTGTGTGTGTGTGTATATATATATATATATATATATATATATATATATATATATATATATATACAAAAAGTGTATACAGTATATATAATGAATTATTAATTAATAATCATGTTTTTGGGTAGTTGCACAACATGAAATTTTACAACCTGATCTAGCCTTGCCTTTTAATAAAAAGGCCAAATTATCTGATATTTTAGTGACTTATTGACCTTGACATGCAGTCATGAGGGTCTGCAGAGGTCCTCTCTATGATGTAGTTTCCGGTGTTTTTTCCCCCTACATGTTTCTGTATTTTGGTCATACCACAAGTTAAATATAATTTTTTTTGAAGTTTAGAAGCTTTGTTATAAAATTTTCCCCAAGAAATAATACTAAATGATTATGCCAAACTATTTTGCTATTTGATTTATTTTTTTAGGAATTTCAGTATTTTAATTATTTTTCCTTCGTTATAATATCAGGACAGTTTTGTCATTTTTGACGACCCTAAACAAAATTGAATTTAGAAATAGAAATTTTGAAACATGCTCATTATATAGGAGGTATATTCAAGTAGTTGTATGTATAAATTACATTTTAATGTATTTTTGAACAAAATAATAGATCCTCAGAAAAACTGGGTGTCATGTCACTGACCCATACATGGTGCTTCATATAGGAGGAAAACATGCTAAAAGTTAAAGATTCACGATTCAAACTTCTTTTGTTCATCAAACGAACAAAACTGGCTCGCAACATCCAAGAACCTCCTGCTGTTCAATCTGTTCTTGCACCCAGTATGAAGGTCACACCCGTCCAGCGCTAATGGCCCCAATGTTCACTGCCTCCTCCCGTAGATCAATCTCTTCTCTATTAAGCGGAGTGTGTCGCTGAATATGATTGCAGTGATGCTACCCTACCGTAGTAATGTGCTTCCATCAATCCATCAGAGACACCCGACCACAGGGGCAAGCAGTTATGAAGTGCTGCTAGATGACAGGCTGAGCTGGGCGAAAGCTCTCCTCTCCTCTGTCTTCCTGTCCACTCATCTTCCCCTCCCCTCACACACTATTCCTGCTGCTTTATGGCCTATTACAGTGCCTGACTGGAGTAGGGAATGTTTGTGGAATCACATTTAAAATATAATTCTTAATTTTCCTTATTTAATTCGTTTTGACCCTGACTTGCTATGACATCATTCAGACCTTTCGACCGCACAGATACGTCCGAGCTCGGCTCAGATTTGGACATGCACAGCGGGAGAGTGGAGGAAATTCATCTAACTCGCTCTCCGTTTTCTGTCCTAGCCACCACCTCTGTCAACAGATCAGAAATGACACCTTATTTCCATAAATACATTAGGAATTCATTGGATTTTCTTTCCCAGCTAATCATAGCGCCTGTGTGAAACCTTTTAGGGTTTTTAATGAATGAATTTTGACTGATTGCCTATTAATAAGGACACCTCTTGAACAGGGATAGGCTGTGGCAGGGCTGGCTGGCGTTCGTGAGCGCATGTGTTTATGATTCGTGGTGTCAAGCGGTTGGAGGGAGGGGTGAGAAGAGGAGCGCTCTCGGCTGGGACATTAAGAGGAAGCAGTGGCTCCCTTGGGAAATCACTCACCATGTCTGCATCTTAAATATCTCTGTGAAGTATCAATAAGTAGGTAATTGAATTTTGAACACAAACATGAGCATCAGGTGTATGTGTTCCAACGTGGGGATGAGAGGGTGGGTTTGTGTGCGAGCGTGTGTCTGTCCTCCCCCGTCCCATGAGGTTTAGGCAGCGAGAAGGGATGTTAAATCTATTAAATAAAGATTACTCCCCATAATAGCCAAGTGGCAGTTTCAGATGCGCAACAGGGGCACGATTAGTGTGTTTGACTTCTAATGAAAGTGAATTGGGGCAGTCAGGTTTTGGTGAGAATTCAGTTTAAGGTCCAGGGATTCATTTTCTCCTTGGACTTAAAAACAAACCGTCTTGTCTCTAGATGTGCTTTAATGGCCTCTAAAAGATGCTTACATTTCCTAAGATAAAAGAGCATTCATTACAGTTAAACTACATTGATTTTGAAACAGAAAAGTTTAATGGTAACATGTAATTGATCATATTTATTTTATTGTGTTGTTTGCAAACCTATGCATTTATTATTTAATGTACATAATAGGCTGTATGTATGTCTCTCTCTCTCTCTCTCTCTCTCTCTCTCTATATATATATATGACATACATAAATATACATATATATGCTATAATTAATTTTATAATTTATAATTTAGATAAAAATTATAGCTGTCATGTAATTTTAATCATGTTAAATATTAATTATATTGATTATAGTAATGTTAATCTATTTATATTATTAAAATATTAATAATGACAAACATATTCATTAAATTTTACATGTATTAATGATATGATTGTATTGAATTGTTAAATTTTATATTATAATAATATATCATACATAATATGTGATGCATAGATGTGTATACTGTATATTTGTCATTTAATAAAAAATCTAAATATTTTAATTATATACAATTCTCATTTTTTTTCAATCAATTTTCAATTTTAAATCAAAAATTTTGCTCATGTATCGGCTCATTTGTGTTACCGGTATTTTGCCTATTAACTCATCATGAAGCATATTTGCTTCATGAAAATAATCTTGAGTGTACGTACAACATCAAGAAGAAAATATGGCCTCTGGAATCCATAATATGCCAGTTAATATAGATGTCACCGGCAACAATCTTCTGATTAACTAAGTACAGAATTAGTAATTGACCTTTCTAATCAACTAAACAAATCTCTAACTCCTGCTAATCAGTATTGATCTGCCCCGTCCAGTGACAGCAGCAGCTTTGTGCATGTGTGTAAATGCTCATACTTGTCTCTGTGTGTGTGTGTGTGTGTTTGAGCGAGGCTAGCTGGCAGGACCCGCTACACTCCCCTTTTTAATCACTCAATGCAAATCATTTCCCTTCTGCTCTGACGGGATTTGAGGATAAATGGAAATCTAATTAATGAGTGGATCAGAGGGGTGCACTCTGGTGAAGGGGTCTCATGGGAGAATGCTTAGCCAGACAAACTCCTGTATTGTTTTGGACAGAAAATGTGAGGGAGATTGGGAGAGGGGTAGTAAGAGTTAGAGTGGGGTGGGTCGTTCAGCGTCGTTTCTTGGCAAAGCTCTTTCCCCCTGTTTGTGGACCCCTCCAGAAACCAGTGGCCCATTTAACAAGCGTTAGCTGCCCTATCATTGACATTAAACCTTGGATTAAGACAAACATTTACTTATGGAAAGCACTTGGAAGGCATTAATATCTCACAGTGAGACTGCAGTGTGAATGCTTGATGACTGCATTATCTTATAATGCTCATCATTACTTAAATGTTTCACTTATAATGGTGATATCTGTTGTATTAATACACTAAAGATTAGGTTGCATTTCAGGCTTTACTCCAAATTTTCTCAGGGATCTAATAGTCAGGAGTCAAGTGTTCATGTGTCTACTGTTTGAACCTATGCCATGGAAAGTAGAAATAATCAAACTGCTCTTAATTCCTGTGAATTTCCTGCCAAGTATTATTTTGGGTATTGTGTAACCTTTAATTTATGTACAATGCATTTTTAATGTAATGTAAACTGTAGTCGATTGAAAGAATATTAAAATATTAGTTAGTTCTATTTTAAAATATCTTAAAAATAATATAAGTAAATAAAATAAAACTGTTTTAATATACATTTGAAATATATTAATACATTTGAAATATATTTTCTGTTGTGGGGTCAGTAAGATTTTTTTTATTTTTTGAAAGAAACATTTTTACTTTTAGACTGCAAGCTTGCAATACATTGCATTGAAAAGTAACAGTAAAGACATTTATGATCTTACAAAAGATTTCAATTTCAAACAAAGGCTGTTCTTTTTAACTCTCTATTCATGAAAACAATCTTTAAAAAATGTATCATGGTTTCCACAAACATTTTAAGCATAAACAAGATAAATTACTTTTAAAATATATAGAAGACAGTTGTTTTAAATTGTAATAATATTTCACAATATTACTGCTTTTACTGTATTTTTGATCAATTAAATGCAGCCTTGGTTGAGCATAAGAGACAAAAACATAAATTCTTACCAAGCCATATTTAAATAATCTGAATCCAGATAGCATCATGTTTAATCCAGTGATAGACAGCTGAAGGTGAATCCACTGACACTTGCGCCTGTCATTAAGATGCCATACAGGGCAGCTCATCTAAATTACAAACCGCCACGTTATTTCGTTAGCTGCCGCCCAACACTGTGGCTTACCCTGTCCCTCACACCCATCACTTCCTGCCTGAAAAACACACCCAGCAGCTCATCAGTGCCTGTGTCAGCCTGACCGCAGGAGGGGTCATAGCCGTTACATTTCTAAACGCTCATGAGAGTTGGCTGTTGAATTACTGAAATAAATTAACTTTTCCACGACATTCTAATTTATTGAGATGCACCTGTAGATGGAGCTTTGAGAATGAAGATGAAAAAATTAGTTCATTAGAACAACTTTAATGATGTGCATTACATTTACTTCATACATTACTCGATCTCGCAATATACCATGGAAAGTTACTTTATCTCTGTCTGATAAGGTTTGGAGACTGTCTTTGATATCACAATATCCTATTAACCTTTTATTTCCTTTTCCAGCTCGAGAAATGACAAGAGGGAAATTCCTGAACATCTTGGAGAGACCCAAAAAGTGAAGACCCAGATGGTGACCGCTGACCTGTCGGGTCAGCTACCAATTGATTGTGAGCTTGTAAGGCAGAAAACAGTAGCATGATACGTAAAATTTTAAACGTTTTCACTAATATTCGACGGATTTGGGGTCAAAACACCATGACACCATAATCATTTTTTGGGGGGGTTTTTTGTATATAAGTTTAATTTCTTTAAATGACAGGCACTGAGTAGAAAGGGAACGATAGTGGTGTGCTTTTCAGTAAAAGTTCATAAATGTATTTATTTTTCACTCTACAGTTTAATACAATTTCAATTGTTTTAATAAAAATACAGTGATGTTTAAATGAAGTACAATTGGTTGTGCTCTTGTCTACATACCCCTTCTAGTTTTTTTTTTTTCAACATTTTAAAGACTTTTAGAATGCTTTTGGCATCCATCCAGTGACATTTCATAAAAGTAGCTTCCATAAAACAATGAGGGAGTTCATGAAGTAGCATTCAAACTTTTAATTAGGGCAATAACTTCATGCCTGTGCCACTCCATCGACTGCTCCATTAACGTCTCTCTTTTGTTTGGGACATGTAAAAGGCTTTGACATGAGAGTGCTTCCACACCAGTGCAAGGCCATTTTTTCTATTTAATGGGAATTGGAAGTTTTGAAGGCCCTCAGCACAAAACATTGCGTAAAAATAATATTGCTCATTGTCATCTCTGTTAACAAGACTTGACATAATTACTAGGGCCATTTCTTCTCTAATTAGCACACTTCCAGGGACATTGGTGCAAACGGTCCGGGAGAAAAGGGAATCAGACAGGCATGCTGAACGGCAAACAAAGAACGCTCTGGCAAGCGTAATTAGGTGAGACAGTGGCCAGGACTGTTCTCGGCTGGAGATGTCGTAGAAGCTTTGGCTGCGGTTGGCGAGTGTTCGCTCCTGCTCCCACCAATTCTTAGAGGTACGCCTCTCCCCCCATTGCCTAATAAGCCCCTAATTGTCTTTCTGATTTTTATGGAACAAGGAAGCTGCTGAGTTAAACCCTGCAAAGCTACTACTGGTGTCTGATCCCATTCTGGAGGACCCAGATTTGCCCTCATTTATTTTTTAACTGTCTAAACAAGCTTTTTTGTTGCAAGTTTAACCCTCTGGTGCTCTTCAGTCACTTTTGACCCAACAATTTTACTTTTTTTTTTCGGAATGGTACAAAACTTTTGGTGCATTGGCTATGTGAACACACAAAAATGGACATGATTGGAAAAGGCAAAATGGTTGTTAAAAAAATATAAAGAAAAGAAAAAAAAACACTTGGCCACTATAGGAAATCAATGGGAAATATGAAAAAAAAATATGAAAATACAAAGGATTTTTGGGGTACAATCTGCAAATCAGCCACAATGCTGGAAAAAAAAAGAGGACAACAATGAACGTATAAGCGAAGAACTTATGTAAGTAATATTAACAGCATGTACCTACTGGTTAGGGTTTGGTTTAAGGTTAGGGTTAGTTGCATGTAATTATGCATCATTTACTGTTATTACTACAGTAAGTAGATGTAACATTGTAAAAAGGACACTAAAGTAAAGTGTTACCAAATTTTGAGTAACAAAATGCTTTCACTATGCAGGTTTCAACTTTTGGCAAATATTCTCACATACTAGCTGAATGAAGGTATTTCTTCGTCCTGTTGTTGATCTATTATCTAATCTATTTCTAATCTGAAGTTTGACAGAACTTTGCACTTGTTGGTTCTGTACAATTGCATCTGTTACACTTTGTTGCCCTCATACATTGTGACAGTAGTGATGTGCAATGACTGTTGTGGCGGACCGGTCAGTAAACATCATGGAAGCTGCAGTTCACATAATGGCACCCGGCCTGTCAGATACTGTAGGTCCTGTCCAGACATCCTCCTTAAGATGAAGGTCATTCCCCACAGAGGGTCTGTCTCCAGAAACACCAGCACAGCCATAAACAACTGGTTGCCCTGACCTCGACGGGCCTTGCTGCCCTAACAAACGTCAATCCAATGTGCCCTCAGGCCTTTAATTAGCTGTCAATTAGTGCAAATTAATCAACTCCTCGCCTAATTAAGCAATGCCGGCAGGCAGCTTCCAAACACGCTATTGTGGGAGCTGTATGAGAAAACTGGAGCTAGCAAACTCTCTCTGCATCAGGGGGTCATCGCACCCTTGGCGGTTTGTGAGGGAAAGAACTCTAGTTTCCTTTTTTTCCACCTACTCAGCACAAGGTGTTTGCCATTATCAGACTGCTGTCCTCAGTGTCCGCTCTGAAAATCCTTAGTCTCAGGGAAAGGAGTTTCCCAGCCTTAGCAGTAACTTTAAAACACCTCACAGTCCGTCACTTTAGTTTCATTCAAGACAGGTTTCTTAACCTTTTAAAATATATTGTAATTTGATTTTGCTTTGTTAAAAGAACATTCTGGGTTCAATACAAGTTAAGCTCAGTCGACAGCACTTGTGACATAATGTTGGTTACCACAAAAAAATGATTGGGTTACGCTGATACAATGGAAGTTAATGGGGCCAACTTTTGGAGGATATAAAAATAAAAATGTAAAGCTTATAATTTTATAAAAGCACCTACATTATTTAGGTAAAACTTGTTTATTATTTGAGGTGTAAAGTTGTTTTGGCATTTTTACTGTTGCTTTAGGATTTATGGCATTGTGTTGTCATGGCAATGAAGTTGTAAAATTGGGTACAACTTTACGCAGAAAAGGTTAGTTTGTGATTTTTGTCCACACTAAAATCATTAACAAATGCTTTATTTTGGCTTTACTTTTGAACAGTGAGTATTTTAATGTTATTTAATTACGTGTTTGCCCCGTTCACTTCCATTAAGTGCCTCTCTGTAAGTTTTGTTGTTTTTAAAGAAAAGGAGGGATTATAAATTGTAATCAACATTATGCCACAAGTGCTCTCGGTTGAGCTTAACTTGTATTGAACCTGGAATATTTCTTTAAACCTATACTACCTTTCAAAGGATTGTTCAATGCTTTTGAAAGACGTCTCTAATGCTGATCAAAAATACAGTAGCATCTTGTAAAATATTACAATTTGAACAAAGTTTTCTATGTTAATATATTTCAAGATGTAATTTATTCCTGTGATGTCAAAGCTGAATTTTCATCAGTCATTAATCCAGTCTTCAGTATCACAAGATCCTTTCGAAATCTAATTAATTCTGATTTGGTACTCAAGAAACATTTCTTAGTTTTTTTCGCTGTTGAAAATAGTACTGCTACATTTTTGTGGAAACTGATATATTTTTTCAGGATTCTTTGATGAATAGAGAGTTCAAAAGAACGGTATTTATTTGGAATAGAAATCTTTTGTGACTTTATAAATGTCTTTACTGTCACTTTTGTTCAATTTAATGCATCTTCACTGAATGAAAGTATTGATTTCTTTTAAAAATTCTTACTGACTCAAAACTTTTGAATGGTAGTTCATAAAACGTAAATTATGACTAAACTGTACCTCATTTATTAATATATTTTCTTGTTCAAAAATGACTCACTATAATTGCCCCATGAAACGTTTAACAAACTCAGATATGTCATTAAAAGAGAGGGAAAGCAACTTGATAAGTCTTTTCAGGCACAGTATTGATTGTTTTCAGTTTGAAAATGAATGATCGTAATAAAGGTCACATCAATTCAATTAATACAAAACAATATCCAGTATAATATCAGAGGTTCTGGATGAAGGGGAACATGAGTGGGACTTTGGGGGTTTAGTTGGAGACACTCCTCTATGCTGCAGCCGGTGTGTGTGCTTGGTGTACAAAAACAAAATGCAACATTAAAAACAATTCATCACTTCCAATACATTGCAAATACAGAATTATGAGCAGAAGAGCACAAGTGATTCTTCATTTAGATTGCCTGGCATGAGAAGATCAAGCACCAGCAATCTGTGCAGAGGCCAGACTAATGCAATACAATGTCCCTATAATACAGCCCCATCCCAAAGCTCATTACCTTGCGGTGACCTTCCAGCATCGAAAGTTCTTCGCAAAGACAAATTCGTCACATTATGCTATAATTGTTACAAGTTTGGACAAACTCTCATTTTAGCAGCTTTGAAAAAGTACACAAGGGTTGTCGCCCCATATTTTTCGTAGAGGTCAAGGCAGCGGTGTAATTTGCCATCCATCTGTCTGACTAACACGATCGCTTTTTCAGTGTCTCAACTGCTTGCTTTGTGTTTGTATGGCGGATTTCACTTAAAACAAGTAGGCAACAGGCCCAGAAGAGACCGAATATTCAGAGAGGGGCAAAACAAATTTTGCAACAGCTGTTTGCCTTTTAATCTGCCACCATCAGATCTTCCAGTCTTTGATAGGCCACCCAATCTACACGAATGACTGAGCTAAATCTTTCCTTAATCTACAGCCTTATTAGTTTGTCCTCTTATGCATGTAAATCAGGGTGCAGTCATTTTCATATGTAGATGGATTATTAAAAGCCGTGGAGGGAGAGTGGGTTTTTTTCTTCTCACAATAAACAACAAAGCCAGGCACAGATTACAGCAGAAGCGATGGCTACGAGAGGGCAGGGAGCAGTTTGTAATTGACAGAGCGCTGTAGCCTTGTGAATAGATGGGTTTATCTAGACCGGGTGATGTGGCATTAGCATATCTTGATGACATTGATTTCTTCATTACCCTTAATGAAATTTCCACTTAATGGCTTCTAATTAGTTTCAACTGGTGCCTATGTAATTGCAGCGGTAATATTTTGCTCAGCGGCGCGGGGTTTAACGCTTTGAGGCAACGCGGAAACGCTTGCGTGAAGTTTTATTCTCTTGCACCGCTTACGCATTTGTTGTCTAAATTTGCAGATCACTCGTTTGCTATATTCCTATATGGGATTAAACTTTACTTCTGTGTGCCTGCCAGTTTTGATGATCATTTCATGTAATTGCAATGGAGCCAGGCCAACAAAGAATTAGCATGCATGGGTAATTGAATAATGTCCCATAAGACTACAAATCACATGTTTTTTCTGTGTTTTAAACTGTGCAAACAGGATTACCGTGCACCTTTATTAGTAATATTCGGGGTAGGGTTATTATCAGGCCACTTCAGCAAAAACACATCTCCAAGTGTTCGGTGTGGCTACTAATTAGCCAGAAAAGCCTCAGATCTGGCGCGCTCGGGTCTGACGCACGCGTCTGACGTTCTGCTGCTGTCTATGAATCATGCCGTTTATTTATGCATCAGCATCAGCACATGGCACTTTGATAAGATTGGTGTTATCTCTGTCTCCATCAACGGCTCGCTGCTCATTTCCATAAATTATCTCCCAGTAATTATCTGTCCAGATGTCCAAATTGTGCCACAAATTATCTGCAAAACGAATCAAAATCCCACTGTAATTTAGTAATAGCTGATTAGACCTCGGTGTATTAAAGAATCTTGGATGTAATTAATAAGCTATATTTTGCGGTCTGTTCAAATGGGTAACTGTTGCAACAGTTCTTCTGAAAGTGTAAGAATAATGTAAAATATACACATTTACCTGGACTTTCCCCCATAAATGACAATTACCCTTTACAATTAAACATAAAAACGTATGTGTATTTCTCAGAATTTCTTATAAGAATTTTACGGTGATGATACGGTGATTTATGACATAAATAAACCCGTTTTTTCGTTTTCTGATTTATTTATTTGTTTCATTCAAATTAATTAAGAAGCTGAGATTCTTGAACATGAAATGTTGCCACTATATCTTAAAATAAACAGTAACGCATGTAAAAGTAAAGCAATGTTATAATGAGATTCAATATCGTGGCCCTTTTTTCCTTTTGTTAATGAAAAATGCATGTTTTGTTTAGATCAAATGGAATACCCCTTATAAACTTTGTCTTTTTTGGTGAAATTTGGAAATATTCTAAGAACTTGACACGTGTTTTTATAATCTCAGACATCCTAATTTGAAGGACCCATTTAACTTCTCCTTTAGAGCCTTGCACTTATGACCAAAGCCTTTTATTTGAAGCCTGAAACTGGTTTTAGCTTTTGCGAAAGAGGAATATAGCGATACAAGAATTATAAGTCCTCACAGGTTCTGTAGCATGATCTGCTGAATCCTTCAACACCCAACAGGAATTCTTTAAAATAGCTGCAATCTATTTCAGTGACAAACATTCGATCTTATATGATTGAGTTATTGAGTTACAGATTTATTTTTATTTTTTCAGTTTTGCTTGTTTTTGTAATAGTAGGTTATTTTAGTCATTATGATTTGGTGTATCAGGCGATGCTGCCTCACAATATATATATATATACATATATACTATGACATTACTCCATGCCCTTTTCTATTTCAGACATTTTCCTTTTATTTTACCATGTAGATATAGGCTACACGCAAAAATGGATTCCTAAAGTCGTTTATATAGACCTAAATGTTGAAGCCTAAAAACCGAAAACATTTATCTATCGACGATTATTATTATTACTTAATTTGAGTAAATTTAATTCGAAATTTAATTTCGAAGTGAACTCATTTTATTTGCTAATTTTGGTTAAATGTCTGATTAACACATAATTGCAAGCAAGATGTGAATGAATGAAATGACATGATGCATAAAAACAGGCAGAGCAGCATCCTGTATCCTCTGGAATTCTAAATCACTTCCTCGCCGCTGATTGGCTGTTGAGTTTTGACCCTTGTTGGGATGGACCTGTTGGATAAAAGGAGAATTTCTATCGGGATCATGCGTATTGCGCCGTGGATGCCTGTGCACAAGGGACCGACTCGTATGTGAAGAAGGGAATAGTCTCGGAGGCATCATGACGGGAAAGGATGGGGCTGTTTTGTCGGAAAGTTTGAACAAATCAAAATCAGTGTGTGCCGCTGAGAACGGGAGAAATAACAATCCACATCTGTCAAAGAGCAGCACCACACATCCGCACAAATGCACGGGCTTCGGCATCCAGGAGATCCTGGGACTAAATAAAGAGTCGTCCTCGGCTCCGCGGAGCACACTGGACTCGTTCCCTGCCGGGGCGCACCTTCTAGCCAGCAGGTCGATGCTCGGTCCAGCGGGTGTTGGTGTCGGGATCGGGATGGGGATGGGATTAATTGGCCCTGGAGGTATTCCATCGTTCTACAGCCAGCCCGCGTTTCTGGAGGTGCTGTCAGACGCGCAGAACGTCCATCTGCAGCCGCTCAACAGGACAGTGGGACCGCTGGAAACGAACCAGTCTGCAAGCTCAGGTGAAATCCATGTTCAAGGCCTGCTCGGGGGGTTGTCCTTGTGTAAGGCAATTGGTCCAATTTCTCGTTTTTTTGTTAACAGAAGGCCTAAATCTATTATTCTTGTTTCTCTTCTGTTCTATATTATTGTTTCTATTTTTATGGAAATCTGTTGCCTGTTTTAAATGGTATTATTTATGTTAAATTGTGATCATTTCCCCCCAAATCCTACGTGACTATCATCTTCAAAACGTCGATTTTGCTTTTAAAGTTAAATGGCTAACTGTTGCAAAACATAACATATTTCACATTTTTATACATCAGCCATTTTAAATAACATGTCCCCCGATGTTACAGATTCAGAGGATGTCTCTTCAAGTGAAAGGAAAATATCAAAATCTTCACTGAGCCAGAGCAAGAAGAGAAAAAAGCGACGACACAGGTAGGCTTAACGCTAATAAAATCAATGTAAAATGACAGTAAAACGACAGTGATCAACTGTATATCATTATTTTATTAAACAGCCGAAACAACAAAAGGAACGTGTAACGATGGTTTGGCAATCATGGCCAGTTTGAAATCAGCTGGAAAATAACATTTGAGGAACAGACTAACTGTGGATGCCCAAGATCCCTGTCCTCTATTTAAGGGCGAATTCGTTTTTTCGTAATGAGTTAAAGGTTCGTAGGTTTTAAAAGGCAGTCAAAATATATTTTTTTTCTTTATAATAATAATAATTGTCGTTGTAATTTGTATTTTTATATTATTATATTTCAAGAGGCATTTGGATTATTTTGTTAAATTTAGAAACACAGGCCTACATTATGATTTTCAGCGTTTGACATGTTCAGGTCTACAAATTAAAAAAATACAATGAAATAGACACATTTGTATTCTATATTTTAAAACCTTAAAGAAAACATATCTCTTGTAGCTACTGACCTCGACATTTGCGGATAGTCCATTCGATTTTAGTCGTTATCGAAATACAATTTATGCGTTATGTTTCTAATATTGATTTCCTAAGACAACTGAATGTTGTTGTTTTGTAGAACAATATTTACATCTTACCAGCTGGAAGAACTGGAGAAGGCATTTAACGAGGCTCATTATCCGGATGTGTACGCCAGAGAAATGCTGGCCATGAAAACCGAGCTGCCCGAGGACAGAATACAGGTAGTATTCTATATACAGACACTCGCCTTTTGAATTAAATGAGAATATAAGAGAACCACTCTTTTTTATTTATTAAATAAAAAGCCTACACTAATAATTTCGCTATATGCGCCTGTATTCAATGATCCTTTTTCTGTTACAGGTTATTTGACGTGTAGGCTATTTATTGATGTACAAAATAAGTTAAAATATTCTTGGTCTTTATTGTATTTTGTTTTTACATCAAGACTTGCCCTGTGTAATTCCTCGAATTACGTTAGCTTTTTCTATCTTCGTTTCTCTGTTTTTTTTTTAATGTTTTTTGCTTTGGTGCATTTCCTGTTTTCACATCAACATGACTAATAGGCAGTTATCAGCATGTTTTAAATTATTTACCATTAAAAAATGTAGACCAAAAAAGGGGGGAAATCGAACAGGCCTAATAAAAAAAATGCAATAAAATAAATCCGGTTTGGTAAGGGTCTCTTCTCTGAGCCTAATATGCCAGACGAAAAACTCTGCCACATTCCTATCTCTTATGAAAAAAGGAAGCACCAGTTGAGGTTTCTCAGATGCCTTCGCAGGACCTGCCTCAGATAGGCTATGCTCAGATATGTGGACCTACTCAAGGAACTTTGAAGTGCCTCAAAACCTTTCCTCTGCAGCGCGTGGCCCATTGTTGAGATCGTGCCGGAACTTGTTGGTTCCTCAGAGAACTGACCTTTTCTAAAGGGCCGCCTATAGGTTCTCAGTGAAGGTCTTGGATTAATTTAGTCGGTTTGTGGGTTAAGGGTTAGTCAGGCTAATTTCCTGAAGTCACCTGCAGAAGGTGAACAGGCTATCAGATGAATATCAGTGGTGCGAATTATGGGAGTTAGAGCCCTCTATAATTAGCTAGTCTATGCCGCTAATTATGGATTTTTAAATAAGGTAATCTTTATTTTCATACGTAAGAAAGTTTCCACTAGGTTAGGCTATCAAACGTTTCAGTAATTACAAAAGTTAGATCCTACAAGTTTGTCAAAACGAGTATTTTCGCCTGTAGCGATCACGAAATAGGCGAATCGCTATAAACTCTGCTCGCGAATAGTTCGTCAGTTCAGTCGATAAAGCATGGCAAATACTAGCATCATGTATCACTTTATTATAAATGTTGGCCTATGAGATATAATGGTGCCAAATTACACATTTGCGCTGCGAGTCTGCGACTAACCTAAATAGCGCCTCGAAATTACCTTTAATAGGCTATATAGGCCTAATAATTTGGAATAGGGCCTACGTTTAATCCGTTTAAAAAAACACCAAAAAACCTTTAACATAGTCGACCATCCTAAAAGTCAATGTACAATTCACTTATCGATCAAGTGCAGCATCCCACTCGGACAGATAATATCTCATCAGCCTCAGTTAGATGTGAAACAATTTGCTCTCAGTGTGTGTGTGTGTGTGTGTGTGTGTGTATCATGTCTGAGTGCGCTCGAGAGAGAGAAAGGCACTAACGACCTAATCAAGCAATCAAGGCAGAAGAAGATTACTGTGTGACCTGAACCATCCATCTGCTGGCACGCCTTTTAATTTCCTTCTCATTACGGTGCATCTCGGTGAATAAATAATAAGGAAATAAATAAATAATTCTATTTCAATCCAAAGTAAAATTAACATCTAATTTTCTCATCGAGTGTAATTAGTTAAATGAGAAAAGCTTGCCGTGTTCCAGGGGAAAGGATGTGGGGAGTTCAAATGAAATAACTAACGTTACATTGAATTTATTAGCACGGGTCAATGACGCTGCTCTCTGGGGTCCTGCTCGTTTAATTTCCCGTGATATTTGCCCGCCTGTCCACCATCGATTGGGCTCGAAATTAACTTATTTTTCAATCAGCTTGTTCGTGCCCTTGGGGTCGTCTCTCATCGCTGTCTCCACCCGCTTTCTTTTGAGCGCCCGATAACCAATTTCTCCTCAAAAAGTATCTTGCATGAAATGAGGGCTATCATCATCGGCATTACCAGAAAGATTGGAAAATGGTTTTGATAATTTCTTATCCCATGTCTGGCCTCTCTGGACCCGGGAGCCCCTCCTTCTCTCCTCAGTCAGAGAGGAGGGGAGGTGAGGGGAGAGGAGAGAGGGAAGGGGAGAGGAGAGGAGAGGAGATGAGATGAGGGGAGAGGAGGGAGAGGAGAGAGGGGAGAGGGGAGGGAGGAGTTGGAGGAGAGG